TAGCATATTAGGCGGTTACCAAAAAGCTGCCTGTAAGAATTCTAGAATTTTTTTTTCATGGCTAATAGTTTTCTGTATTAGTGGTATTATTATATGTGAACATATTGTATTAAATCTTCTCAGACTGAAGAGCATTTAAATTAGAAACAGATTTTAATTGTTGAATGCTCTCAGCAAGATTTGCTCTCTGTGGCTATTCTGCATGTTTGTGTAGTTTTTTTCTGTTTCTGTGAAAGCTTTGCTGATAAATTCATTCACACAAATGTGTTTTCAGTGCTCAAAGACTACACATAGATAAAGCAGAGACTGCAGAGTGTTTGTCAGATTTTTTTTTGTTTGTTTGTTTCATCCATGTTTATGTGAGGGAATACTTTATTCATTATTCTGGTAATGAAAATCTCAGTTCCTCTGGGCACTGCTCATGTTCCAAGTTTTCGTTAGATTTGTAGATTAGCTCTTAGGTACCAACTAGAAGAACAGTAATCAAAGGAGAGTTAAGGCATTTACGCCATGCATTAATGGTGGCCATTTTCCCTTTTCCCAACAGTTTGAAAGCAGAATGGCTCTACAGTCAAGGTAAAGGAAGATCGTATCGACCTGGACAGCATGTTCAGTTAGTCCAGTACTTGGCTACTGTTTGTCCTCTTGTATCTACATACGGTCTCCAGACTGAAGAGGATGCCAAACTGGAAAAAATACTGAGTAAGCAGAGGTGAGAGCTTCTTGTTTCTCTGTTGCTAGTGAATGTAATTGAGAACATAATTGTATGTCTTACTATGTGTTAGATATAGTAACATTTCCTTTTAAGTATTTCAAAGCAGCAGTGGGGGCTGGAGATAGGAAGAGTAATGGAGGTACAGGATGTATTCTAGAGGGGAATGAGAGGTAAGGCGGCAGGAGCGTTTTCCTGCTTGCTGGGCCATCTAGGGGCAAATTCTCTATAGTTTGCAGTCTGTGCTCCGTAGGACATCGAAGGTGACTTGTGTTAGGAGTGAATTAAAATAAACAAACTACCTACTGAGATTTTTTTTTTTTAGCCACAGAGAAAGTGAGGAAAAACTCAAAAAGGAGCTTAGATTAGTTTTTGTTCTAATTGTAAATGAAGACTATTGTGGTACACTGGTGTATTAGCCACTTTTTTGTTGTTAGCGTGTTCTTTCTTGGTTTTAAAGTTAATGTCCTTTGAGGGACACTGTTCCAGTGATGCTCTTGACAATCTCTGTATCTGGCACTTCGGGTCTGTCAGCAGAGGCCTCTATAGTCTGCTGGTTCTGTCAGCAGTAGCCATTTTGCTAAGGTCTGCAAGTAGATCAGGAGAGTTACCGTGCTGCACTTTCCTCCCATGAAAAGCTGAACTAATTGGGATTAAAAGCCAGAAAATGTAACAATACACATATCCCTGTTCCCCAGGACCTATTGACAAACTTTTTTTGCAGAAAGGTCAGAGCAGAAGACTCAGCTTAAAGGAGCAGGCTACATAAGTGGCATAGCGTGGGTAGAAAGTTGGGCAACAAAAGTGTTGTGGTAAGCAGAAGGGCGGCATCTCATCAAAAGGCTGGAAACTTGGGAGCATCTGGAAGGAGCTAGTGAATACTTTGTCAGTGTGGACTGATCTCCAGGAGGAAATTATAGAAATCTTGGGGCCATTTCAGAGGAGAAGGTACAATAGAAGCATATTGACATTGAAATTTCCAGCTAAGTGCTCTGACATTCACATGATGTTTCTGGGGAAAATTCAGGAAGTTGACTTGCAAAATATAACTCTTTAAAAATTAAAAAAAAACCCAACAAACAAAACAAAAAACCCTCACCAAAAAACGAAGCCCCCAAAATCCCCACCCTTATATATATGCACACACATATATGATTTTTGAGGCAGTTTGACTTTTCTGACCTCTATGTCATGATCTTTTGAATTTAGCTGGGCTGAAACAACCTCTGTGTGTTCTCAGTTTGTAAAGGATAATTTTGTTTGTGGCAATGTTTGTTGATTTGTGTTAGGAGTTTGTCCCTTTAGTAACAGGGATACCCTTTCCTTGATTCAGTCATTTTCAAATGTAAAAGACACTCCCTCCATTCCTCAAACTCCTCTACACATAAAGTATAACGTATCCTGCAGTAGGCTTTTAAAATATCTGCATACCTTCCTTCCTTCCTTGTGTGTAGAAATGCTTCATGGTTTTCAGTCTATAGTCAGAATTGCATGTTGGATTTTTTCTTTTTTTTTTTTATACATGTACAAACGAAGAAAAAGGGGGAGGAGGAGGGGGAACAGGAGCAGTCTGTGCAATATCCTACTTTGAGTAGTCCTGTTAGTGTCTTGTAGGTGTAGGGATCTGCATAACTAGCCTCTTGTTTTAGAATGATTTGATCATTTGTTTCCTTTAAAGTAGTTGATAGTTTCTTTTAGATGTCTTCTGTACCAAAAAAGCTTAAAAGAAATATAAAATCTGTTGGAACTCTGTGCTTAGGCTCCACCAGAGGCAGCTGATGCATCAAGACCAAAATGAAGGACCACCTACATCATCTACTCCCAACAAAACACTGCCAGTTACTTACGAACACAGCAGTCCAGCCCAGCCACCACAGATAGTTCTTGAAAGTGGTAAGAAGCTAATCTGCACCTGTGATCTAACCTGTGGAAATAATTTTTTTTTTTTTAACATAGGTAACTTTGTGGAGAGAATTTCAGAACAAGACCCTGTTATTATTTTATTCTATTGATTTTTTTGGAGATTTTCAACTGAAGTTATACTTCGTTTTCTAAAAATACATTCCATGCTTATTCGTGTCTTGAAATGCTAGTAAGATTGTTAGGTAAAAACCACAATCCAATAAACTAAAGAGTTATTACTTTGACTGTTCCATCTGATAAAAGTGTAACTTCTCCATGCTTACTCGTGTCTTGAAATGCTAGTAAGATTGTTAGGTAAAAACCACAATCCAATAAACTAAAGAGTTATTGCTTTGACTGTTCCATCTGATAAAAGTGTAACTTCTCCAGGGGGAGGCAGTTTGTGCAATTTACCATACCCAGTATTTGCAAAGTTTGTGGAAGTTACCATGACAAGTAGTTATTGTCCTTATTGTTATATAGAAATAATGCTTATCATTACTAGCATTTTAGATCTTCTAACACACACAGGTTTCTAACTATCTAAACCAAATTGTGAATCCCTGTGAATCAAAAGAAGATATGTTATTGAAATACTATGACAATTTTGAATATGGCTCTCTGCCTATCTAGAACCTATCATCCAGAAGAATTCTTGGGTTGGACCGAGTGCAAACGATGATCATTCCTATGCAGTAAAGAACACTTTTCTTCTTGAAAGAAATTTTCACAAGGAGCTCTACCTTGAAGATATACAGACAGATGAAGACAAACTAAACAGCAGCCTGTTATCCTCAGAGTCTACTTTCATGCCAGTTGCTTCAGGATTGTCTCCAGTGTCTCCTGCTTCAGACCTGAAGCTACATGGAATCAATTTGGGCCTAGAAGATGATGACCATACAGGGATTGAATGTGTGAGAGATGTTAATAGAGGAGAAACAGCTAACAAGCAAGAAGCTTCATGTGCTACAAGAGAGCGCTCCAACAGAGCGGTAGGAAGTGTGGAAACTCAAGAGAATATCAAAGAGAGTATGCTGTTGCCTTCTCCTGATCCAGTAACAGCTAGCCCGACTGCTAATACTAGCAACTGTTCAGGATCCTCTGAAGACGAAGTTCTGCATAGTCACCCCAACACCTCAGTAGGTGCTGAATTGGGAGTTACAACTCTCTGTCCTGACCAGATGGCAGGAGAAAGTTCTGATTCATTAGCTGTTGTTGATCAAGGCACAGCTGAACTGCAAAGAATGACTAAAGCAGCTACCAAACTTCAATCCTGCTGGAGAGGATTTTACACAAGGAACTATCATCCCCGAGCCAAGGAAGTGCGGTATGAAATTCGACTAAACAGAATGCAGGAGCACATCGTTTGCTTAACTGATGAAATAGAAAAGTAAGTTGAGGTCATGCTGTGTATTTTCAAATCTGAATGAATATAACCATTGTTCCAGGATGTTTCAGAACAGGTATAAATGGGTCTTGATATAACTACTCACAGTAGAACCTAGAATTGGGAATATAAAACTGTGATTACAGTAGAGGATCGCTTCCTGTAAGATAAGCACAGTTAAGCACATAGCTCTTCATACTCTCAAAGTGCCTTCTATGAGTGGGTTGGGTTAGAATAAATTTTTCTATTCCTCTGTTAGCAGGACTTGCATGTTTCACAGCATAACCAAAATAGAAATTGCCAAGTGCGATTTTTTTTTTTTTTTTTTTTTTTTTAAATTTTACTTGTCTCCTAGCAATTACAGAGTCTGTAAATGAAGTGTCCATATTGAGAGTCATTCCTCTGTTACTGGTGAAAAGAAGAATTCTCTCTCTGCCTTGCATGATACAATTTTAAAATGTAATTCTGTGCTTGGTTCTGGTTTTTTTGATCCTATCAATCCATGTTTGGAGGAGATCATTATCAAAGTTTCTCAATTTGTAAGATATAAATTGCAGGTTTAGTTAATATCTTTCAGGATCAGCCTGGGAACTGGCAGTCTGACAGGCTCTTTTCCTTTACTATCACGTTCTGTGAATCAAGTTGAGCCTGCAGTGAATCTCTAGAAACTCCCGATGCTTACACATCATGCCTACATCCAAGTGATATCAGTTGGGGAGAGCATAATTTGAAATGAAGAAGCACTATTTTGGGGGGGGCGTTGTGCAGGGGAAAGAAGCGCGTCTACTTAAATGAAGAGCTTGGGTTCAGTTTACAAAAAGCCACTTAAAGTATTAGCAAGTCAATAAATGTGCTGCAGCAAAAGGAAGCAGAATCTTAATGTAACTCTGAAAAAGATATTTGAAGTCAGCAGCTGGATATTGATGGCAAGCCAGACTGCAGTAATGTCTTAATGTTAGGCTCTGTTGTATCTTTCAAGAGCGACGTTATATAAGTAGGCATTTTTATGTATTCTTGTTGATCTTGTTACCCAAATGTTGCTTATTTACGCTGCATAAATTTGGATGTGTGTTCTTGCAGACTAAGAAAAGAAAGAGAGGAAGATAAGATTCAGAGGCTTGTACAGGAGGAAGCTGTCAGATTTCTTTGGAACCAGGTAAATAGTTTTAGTCCTTTTATTTTTCTGCTTACGTATGAATTTGAAAGGCATTATTTCATACTGTAGATCCGGAAGAGGTAGTCAATATGGTTCATTTTTTTCCAGTGATGACTTGGGTGGCTTATTAGAATCTAATTGCCATGTTGTTTGCTATACTGGTTTTCTGGGATAAAATAACATTCAGAAGTATTAGCGCAATAACACTGGCTTTGTTACAAAAGGCTAAATTACAGCCTGGTGTGAGAAGGAGGACAAAATGCAAGGGAAGCTAAATAAACATAGCAGGAGTGTGAAGGATGATATGACTGCTAGATGCCCGGGGCAAATGAACTGGTGTTCAAGCTATGTTGCTTGTGAGCAATTCATTTCTACAGTAGAAAAGTTATTAATACATCTTCTAATAAGCTATTCTTCCAAAAATAAGACTGACTGCTTTCTTAATTATGGGTCATTTCATAAAGGTTCACCATCCTTTCTGTTTTTAAGAGCAGATTCCTTTTTCTTCAGGTACTTGAACTGGGAGGCTTGTGTGCCCTGTCAGTGTTGCACACCTAGGTTTAAAAGCCATTATTTAACAGTGGGAAGAACATATTTTCCCTAAAGGTATAACGAACCTTTTGTTAGTTCACTTGGTCTTAAATTTTATATTAGAGCTTTGTTGCTGATTGCAAGAAATACTCTAGAAATCAAAGTACTTTCTTAATTACATTTTATAATGAAATTTTCTCTATACTTTACAGGTTAAATCCCTTCAACAATGGCAGCTTTCAGTGACACAAAATTTAGGTGCCACTTGGCAACCTGTGATCTCTTCAGCCAGTACTTTCTGTCCATCCGAACCATCTATTCGATCATCCACACTTGAGCAAGAAACCCCACCAGATGTTAGTTCTGCTTGGTTAGTTCCAGCTAGTGATGTTCTTCAGGAAAAGTCTTCGTTGCAGTTCCCAGATTCTGGTTTTCATTCTTCCATGGCTGATCAGACTCATGCCGGTGACTTATGTAGCTCTGAAAAAAGTTTAACGGAAGGAACAGAGAGCTCTCTTTCAGTGGAAACTGTCAAACAATGCGGCAATTCTGTTTCAGCGTATTCATCAGATGTAGAGGATGACCATGGGGAATGTGGGCAAAGTAAAGACAGCTCTAGTAATGAGCAGGACGACAAACTAATACAACAGTATTTGAAATCTGTTCAGCAGCTGGAGGAGGCTGATGAAGGGACAAACTGCAATGATGAAACAGGGGGTAGCTGGCCACAAATCACTGTTTCAGCAGAAAGCCAAGATTCTTTGTCTGACAGTGTCTCTGTAGATCTCCCTCAAGATGCATCTTCCCCTGCCCGAGGTGAAATCAGTCAGACACCAGAAAGCTGCAAACTGAATTCGGGAATAGTAGAAGGGAAGCAAACAGACTGTGATTCTTCATTTCAGATGCTGCATGTTGGGATAGCTGTATAGTAGGCTTAGTTCCACAAAGGACTAGGGATTCCATTTCACTTTCCGTTCTCTTTCTTTTTCCTGCTTATACAAAACTTATTTTTCATGTGTGCTGTTTCAGATTTTGACTCATGTTACCAATTTATGTTTTAATTAGTATTTTATTGATGTCGCTGAGGACTGACACTGACTATGCTAACCTGAAATCAGCAAAGTTCTCAGTGACAGTCATTATGCACTTTATTTTCCAACAGAAAACTGATATCCTAATAACTGGCTTCCATTAAATTAATTCTGAAGATTGGGGGTGGTGTTTGCTGTAAATTCACTTCGGTGAATGTGTTAGTAAGTGTTTGAATTTTTTTCTAAAAAGCAGGATTGAGTTCTTACTGTGCAAAAGAGAAGGAAACAGTATGGGAGGAAACGGAGTCAATATAGGCAGCGTGTGCGTGTATAGATACAGCCTGATGAGAAAGATGAAAGCAGTTGCCTTTCCGACTTCTTTTGACTTTAGCAAGAGCAGTTTGGTCAGTGTTTCAAAGATGCATTCCATGAAACCAGTGTCCAAGTCAGTGAATTCTTTTTGTCATTTACATGAAGCTGCTGGCTAGGAATTAGGTCATTTACATATGCACTGAAACAAGGACTTACAGAAGTCAGACCTTAGGGAGCTTCAAACAAACTTTTTTTCCCTGCTTTCTCAGGTAAGACTCCAAGTGAAACCAGTAGCAGCCTTTACTAAATGAGAACGTCAAAAGGGCATGTGATTTGGGAACATAGTTTCCAAGACTGCACTGCTGGGTGATAGCCGCAGACTTGGTGACATGTTTTGCCTTCACAAGGATGCTGATGTAATTTTGGGATGTGGATCTGCATGGCTTTCAAGACATTAGTGTGTTTGATGGATCACAACTACTTCTATCTACAGGTATAAATATTAAAAGCAAATGTCATGACTTAAAACTCTCTCTTGACATCTCTGTTGGGTTTTTTGTTTGTTTTTTTTCTCTGTATGTCCAGTATTTGACATTCTAATTAGATGTGGATAAAAAGCTGTATTTCTTCCCTGTTGGCAACTGTGCTGAGTTACCTAGGCTATGCTTTCCACTTAAACACTGGGCAAGTGGTAGGGTTTGTATTCTGCCTAGCTGTTGCTATGTTGGTTTTTTTAATGGAAAAAGATCAGGTATCTTAGTATACTGCAAAAGTGGCAAGGGAAATCTGTTTTGCCATGTGACTAGTAAAATAAAAGTTGATGTTGTGACTTCTAGGGGTCAGTTAAGTTTGCTAATACTACATTTTGCAATGTGCACTGGAAGGCCAGTGTTTCAATAGTATGCTAATACTAACTTCTCAGATATAAAGACACACGCATACTATAATTCTCTGAATCCACAGGCTAACTTCTGGTGCTATGGTGTCATTAAAATCAACTAGTGCTGTTTTAAAGTGACTCTTATGACCATGTTACCATGTAAAATAATTTTTGTAGAAGCTTTGGTTGCTTGTCTACTTTAGGTTTTGAGCTGAAATTTACCACTACTCAGGAGTTTGGCATGAGGCCAGCATCTGCTTGAGGCCTCAAAATAGCCTTTATTTAGAACATAAATGTTGTGTATTGGACTTGTACTAGCCATATGCCCAGCGGTGAAGCTCACCTTGGAAGAATAAAGCTTGCCTCTGTGTATAGAGTAGCATCATCTCTTTTTCCCCACCCCCCAAAAAATAAGTTCTAGGGCACTAACTTCTCAAAAGAGCTGTCACCATAGTCAAGCTGACATTTGACTGTGCCTTGCATACATGAGAGCATTTAAAAAAAAAAACCCAACCAAAGCAAAACAAACAACTGAGGTGGTGGATTATTAATGTGCTACCTTTCTAATTCAGTCTAGTTACAGCATGTTTGTAGCATAACCATATTCATAATTAGATCTTAGAGCATTAGTGTGCTTGGGTATTGAAAGTGGTACAGGTGCATTAATGTATCAAAACACCTAATTAACTGTGCAAAGAAGTTTGTAGGCTACGTGATCACACCCTTGTCCGCTGAAGGTTCTCAACTTGCATTTAAATTTGCCATGCTTGGAGATCTCCACAGTTCATAGATTTGGCTCTTTGAGTGTCAATCTGTTATTACAGAAAAAAAAAAAAGAAAAATCTCGTGTAAACCTTTAAAAAGACTTTCTTTGGGTTTTGAGAGAGAAATTATTTCTGTCTGTGAAACAGTTGTTGGACCTTATACTCTGGAGGCAGTGGTTAGGTGTAATAAAACAGTAAGTTCTCTTTTGTGGCAGTGCTGTATTAGCATATGCAAGGCTTGGGAGAAGCTACACTACTGTCCTGATAAAAATGTTTCACTTACTGAAGACACTTGAGGGACCATATGTATTTTGCTATTTTGCATTATTGGTCGCTTGTGCTGCAGAATTAGAAAGAGGAGAAACAACTTTAATTTTGGAAGTGTCAAAGGGGGAAAACTTGGTGAAATTTAATTTTTCATGGAAGCCCTAGATGTTTCTTGACATTTCCTCTGTTATTAGGGCTTGCAAACACAAACACAAGATGACTTATTTTAACTAATGCCTAGGTCAACTGTTGGCTTTTTTAACTTGTAACCTGTATATCCAAAACTGATTTTATGAAGGTACAGCAAAGTGTGTACCAACATATAATCAGCTTTATCTTACTCTTTTGGGGAAGCTATGAAATATGAAAGATGGGGTTTTTTTCCGATGTTCTAAAAAGTATCTTGCATGTGTAGAAGATGAATTGCCTAAATATACAGAAATCACAAAGAATGATGAAGTTTTGGATTAGTTTTTACAGGGTTAAATGTAATTAGTTTGTATATACACAACATGCTTTCATCCTGACCATTAAAATACATACAGGGAAGGACATAATGGGGGATAGAGTGGAAAAATAAGGAATCAAACTGGATGTATACTTAAAAATGGCTTCTTTCAGTCTGTTTTGACCTCAAAAAAATCATGATCTAGAAATATCTTAGTTTAGCATATGGCTTAACATCTACTCTTCTTTGTCTGTATAAGTTTTCTTAATCTAGGTATGTAATATTCTTTTACCTGGATAAGGATGCACAGCTCCCTTTGGAGATGACGGCAATTTCATAAAGGAATCAAAGACCTAATATATGAAAATCCATGTCTGAAATCTTCCTGTATTAATATTGTATGTCTTTCAGCATTTTCCTTTTGCAAGCCTTCATCTTCAACAGAAGAATGCACTTTGTAGAAGGAAAGCTTGTCTGTTGTACTCTGTCCTGGGCTGATCCTCCAGTCCTGATGGAAGAGATTACTAATGGTTATCTGTCAGGCAATGTTGTCAGCTCTGCCGTGAGTACAGTTTAAGCGCTGCTTTAATTTGCTTCAGAAAAATCAGCTAAATATAGCTCAGACTAACGATTTAAACTGTGCCTGCCACACAAGTAGTTTTGCCCCAAATGAGGTGTTTGGCAAATGCAAACCTCTTTCAGCTAGTCTATGGCAGAAATTACTCTTTTGCCTGCTTTGCTGAAGGTAGGGACAAGGGGGAAGGTGGAAATGCATTTATTTGTGTTTTCAGGTTTAATCTGTGATGGTAACACCAACTCTTTTATGATTGCTATTTCAGTTTTCTCCCAATTATTTTTATAGTTTACAAATTTCAATCTTTCATGTAATCAAGAATGCATTTTTTTCTACTGTATGTAGTAATCGATAGAAACTGTTCCAGATGGTGTTTGGGAAGGTAGAAGAATATCAAGAAAGCAGGCCTGTTCACATTTTATATTTCAAGGTTTATTAAGGTATTTGGATTGTATTGATTCTTCTCTGTTAGTTAACTTCTTTACGAAAGAAAAACACAAGGCAATGCCTTATTAATGGCAGTAAGTAAACTTCTGTTTCTGCCTTCTTCCATGGACTGAGCTTAATGGTCACAACTCTCTTTTTAGTACCTAAAACTGTCATTTAAATGAATGGGAGATTTAGCTGCTGAATGAATACAGTGACTAATGTGGTTTTTGTTCCTGCTTTTTTTTGTGGTGACTATTCCTGTGTGGTGCTATTTTGTAAACAAAGTATGTGTGGCAAGGATGGAATTTTTAAAAGGTACTGAACGTTGGCCTAACTCTCTGCTTTCACTTCCTTAAAAGAAGCAGGGTCATGCTTAAGTTGAGTCCTTGTGAACTGGCTGTCTAACCTGGGATTTTATCATATTTACATCTCTAGGAGTGTTCTTATACCACAAAGCAAGAAGGCATTAAGACTGCAAATTTTATTTTGTTGTTTCTAAAACACAAATATCTTTCAGCAAATACTTGAGAAGGTCCTTGTTAAACTAAATTGCAGAAGCTTAACTGTTTATAGTTGAGTTCCTTAAAAAACAAAAAATCCAATTGCAAGCAACAAAATCATATTTACATCTCTAGGAGTGTTCTTATACCACAAAGCAAGAAGGCATTAAGACTGCAAATTTTATTTTGTTGTTTCTAAAACACAAATATCTTTCAGCAAATACTTGAGAAGGTCCTTGTTAAACTAAATTGCAGAAGCTTAACTGTTTATAGTTGAGTTCCTTAAAGAACCATAGATTCTATTTGCATGCAGCAATTTAAATAAGGCACTTAGCAGCCAGTCTGTCTGTATATATAAAACAAATTTTGGTTTTTTCTGAATAATGTTGTATGTCATTGAGCTTGCAAATTGTTCCTGGTTTTTATGAATTTGTATATATTGTCTGAAGAACTCCAATCTTAATTTCTACTTGTAGCAGGTTGTTTGATGAACAAAAATGGAAGATACATTCCTTTGAGACTACCTGGGTACTTTTTACTGGACTTGAAGTTACAGTGTGTCTTGCTCAGATACACTTTTCCCTGAGAGGATAGAATTGTAGCATTTAGTGGAGACTGACTGAATGACAATAAAATGTGAAAACCATTTAGTTCCTCTGCTTTTAGCTAGTGGAAAAGAGACTTTTCCTGTTGTATTAACTTTTTTTTCCTTGAGGACTGTGCCACCCAAATAAGCAAGCATCAAGTATTCATGAAGTCTTTCAAAAAGTCTTCTTTGATAGTTACAGGTTTTTTCCCAGTTTGACTTTCTAGGACAAGTTACTGAAAAACACTTGCTTTCTATATGCCTGCCAAAAAGTTGGGACTCTGTCTATTTTTAAATGCTTTCTTTATGTCAGTAATGGAAAAAGCACAGGATCCTTTACTTGCAAAAGCATAAAACAGTATTTATCAGGAAAGGTGCTTTGTCTCTTGGAAAGTGCCACGCCAAATTTTCTTGTATAAGAGCTCTCAATAAGAAACTTCTTTTCTGGCTTCATGACATTTATAAGTATATGGGCCAAATTCACTTGTAGAATAATTCTGCTGAACTAAATTTTGTTGAGTCTTTCACAGTAGTATTCTACCTCTAAACTAGAATCTGAAAAATAACAATTAGGCATTGATTTGTCTTTCTACTTCTCACTATTTTCTGTGAAGAATGGTGGGTGGTTAAATTGGTACAGTTCGTATATTTTCTATAAGTGTTTACATTTCTGGATTTATTGTTTCTTAAATATTTTGTTTGTACCTCTGAGTTTTGAACTTTAAATAAATGATTTGTACATTTATTGAAAATGTTAATTTGTACGTGATCCTGACTCTTGCAGCTAATAATAATTTTCTTACCATTGGAGGGCTCTTTTGGAGATAAAGTTTAGAAATACAAAATGGTGATGACAAGGTAAGCATTAGCATTCATGACTTGGTACAGCTGAGGCATCTAATGGCCCACTGTTTCAGTGTTGGAGATAGTAAGAGCATGGCAGGGTACTCAAAACTTATACACCAATTGAATACCAATTTCAGTGGCATCTACTAATCATGACTTGCAGTCCTCTGTTTCTATCACCGGCCCACTCTCTCGTGTTCTTAATTCTCTACTGTGTTTAAAATAAAAGATGTGGCAGTGTTCTCTACAGAGCTTTCTAGAAAGAGAATTAAGGCTATGGGCTTATTGAGAGAAATGCAATTGGCAAAGCATGTTGTTCCCTCTCCTACTATTTTGGTTTGGTCAGATACCTGCTGTGTGCTTAAATAAATGAAGACTAATTAAATATCTTTCAGGCTTTAACAGACAAACAGTCCAGGAGCGCAGACATATATGAAAGTCATGTTTTACTGCAGGACAGTCATCCCAGAGGTTTAAAAACAAACAAACAAACCCCCCAAAACCCCACCAAAAATAACTGTTTTGCTTAACTCTCATTTCACACATGGAGGTTAGTGGGCATTTTTTAACTCTTTGCTATGTGTTTCCACTTCATTGCACTGAAGAAATTAGCTGAGGTTTTTAAGTGAGGCTCTTCTTGCTCTTCTATGAAGATATTTGAAAGACAGAAATAGGCATAGCTAAAGTGACTTCACTTCAAGTCTTAAAAGAGAAAAGCGGTGCTGTTTTCTCTTGCAGTAGAGTTAAGACCTTAAAGCTGTACTATTAAGTTTAAATGCTGTGTATTGTAGGGATAGTAACCATAACACTTCAGGAGCTCAGGTTGAAGGTCACTCTTGTCCCTGTTTTTGATTCATATTTGTAATAAGATCAGACATTAAAATCTTTGGCTAGAGTTGGAAAATAAAGGGATAAATATATCTAGTGGATGGACCGAATTTTATTCAAATGAAAATAGTTACTTTGAATTTTATGGGCTGAAATCCTTACATACGCTAGGAGCTGAGTTCCTTTTGTGTGTGGTGGTGTTTGAAAAACTCCTGTTAATTCTATATAACATTATGTCCGGATGGTAGGTGAGGTATTTTTCCCCTTCACTCAGGTGTTACGGTGTGAAAACTAATTTTTCTCTACTGTATTGATACAGTTGCAAAAGCAGAAACCACTATGTCCAAGTATAGCTTGCATCAGTACATCACTGATTTCAAGCCATAATACTGCATTTGTGAAGGATCTATGGTGATATAATGCATCAATTTGGGGTATAGGTAGAAGGAATATAGAAGTATAGGTACTTTGGCCTACACGGGACAGCACATAGAGATCTTGGCAGATCTTAATACATG